TGAATTTTACTGTACATTTCTGCCATATGGACATCAACTTGACATAAATCACCACGGATGAGCTACTACTAAATATAATGTAGAAACTTTAAAATAGAAACTGAAATTTTCTGTTAAGCTGCTTTGCAACGATTTGTATCGTGAAAAGCTCTATACAAATAAACTTGAATTGAATTGCGGTGCAAGTGCGTGCCGAACCGTGGGTGGAGAACAATACGGTTAGATTTTTTACCGAGAACCGTTACACCCCTAATAACTACTGAACTGTCTCTCTCTGCTCAGTAAACTGGAACAGGAGAAAGTAATTTAAAATAAAAAAATTACACACATCAGCTCTAAGAATGGTCTTCCATCCAAAGCCACAGTGCAGGAATGGGGGTGTGTATTAGATCAAGATCTGCATCTCAGTACAATAAATGCAGTGTAGCTAACATAAACGAACATGAAATAAACATAGGCACGTGCAGAGGGGGGTGCGATGGGTGCTTGAGCACCTGCCCCTTTTCCCCTTGATGCCCAAAGTGCCCTTTTGTCAAGGCAATAAAAAAAAAAAAATGCAAAATTAACTGATGACACATGACCAGTGGAGTAGGCAGAAGTTGGTCTATGGTGCACAGACTGGCTATTCTTACCCATCTCCTGGCCTGGGATGTGGCATGTATTAAATAGCCGCTCCCACTGGGCAGAACAGAGTGGAACGCGGTTCATTAGTGCAAAAAACTGCACCATTTTGACCATATGATCAGGAGGCATGAAATATAGAAACATTCACAGAATTAAATAAAGAGATCAATCTCCTTAGTAACAGGCCTAAGGTTAGTTAGGGCTAATTCATTTATTTGTAATAGAGGGAGGTTATTACAAATTATGTTATAGTAGAAGTTATTACAGTGTTGACCCATTAAATGAGTAGTAATTTACAGATAATGTACTTACCCCCTTGTCATCCAAGATCTTTCTTTCTTCAGTCGTAAAGAAATTATGTTTTTTGAGGAAAACATTTCAGGATTTCTCTCCATATAATGGACTTCTATGGTGCCCCCGAGTTTGAACTTCCAAAATGCAGTTTAAATGCAGCTTCAAAGGGCTCTAAATAGGCCTGGGCGATAAAATGGTATCGATATTTATAGACGGTACACCTTCTTCGATATCGATAGAAAAATTGTTCGATATAGCGCACGATATAGGCACATACTATGAGTGACGCAGACAGCACACACAAACACGAACACATGCTGAAATGAGTGCTGTGCCTGCCTGTGATGAGGAGATTGTGAATAAAGAATGAATATTAGTCGAATTTAAAATAAACATTTGCATTTGAATGTTAGGAGTGCATCAGGGAGCATCATCAGTAGCGCGCAAGATGCGGTGATGATGATGTAAGTGACGTTGTTGCATTTTAATGTTTTGTTAGTCTAGCCCACGAGACGCGCCGCTGCTGCGTTATTCATTCAAAATATTAGAGAAATATAGAAGCTCAATGCAGAGAAGATCTTGAATGGGTTAAAACCGAAACCAAGCCATTCACACAGAACACATATTCAGCGCATTTTTTAGATGGACAAATATGAATGCTGCACTCGCGTCTCACAGAAGAGATGTATAGAAAGCCATGCAAAGTTAAAACAGTTTAAACTTTTAGAAAAAACGTCACTCATTTGTGGAGGTTTATTCCTTTTCACTGCGTCTCATATGTTTTTAAAGGCAATCTGTGTGATGGGCGCTTCGGCTCTTTGGATTAAGCAATGCATAAATACATGATGCTGTTTTGTTCATAATTGTTTATGCAATTTACGAAATTATATTTGATTTTTATGAGTTAATTTAGACGTAACACACGTTTTATAGAGTTACTTCCTTGCGTTGACAATTTAAATGCACTGCATTATTTATCTCATTGCGCCCTCGGGAGACAATTAGACCTATACAATAAAGACCTATTTAATCTGCATATAAAACATTAGAAATTAGATATTTAATTTTTATTGTGTTTGATTGTTAAAACAAAAAAATATTTGTTGTGTGTCTCAATAAATTGTGTTAATTATAAATACAGTGGTTAAATAAAATAAAAAAATTCTATTGCTTTTTGTTTTAAAAAGGTTATATAAAATGTCAATAATTATCAATACCGAACGATATGAAACATTATATCGTTGATACAATTTTTTGCTATATTGCCCAGCCCTACTCTAAACGATCCCAGCCGAGGAAGAAGGGTCTTATCTAGTGAAACAATCAGTTATTTTCTAAAGAACTGTACAATTTATATACTTTTTAACCTCAAACGCTCGTCTTGTCTAGCTCTGAGTGTACTCTGTGTTCTGGTTCATGACAGTTAGGGTGTGTCTAAAAACTCCAATGTCATTTTCTCCTCCAACTTCAAAATCATCATACATCGCTGCAGAAGTACCGACCCAGTGTTTACAAAGTGAACATGCAAAGAAGATCAAACGCCCTTTACAAAAAACAGCAAAACCGCGATGTAGGACGATTTTGAAGTTGGAGGAGAAAAAGAGATGGGAGTTTTTCGACATACCCTAACATGAACCGGAATACACAGAGTTCACGCAGAGCTAGACAAGATGAGCGTTTGAGGTTAAAAAGTATATAAATTGTACATTTCTTTAGAAAATAACCAATCGTTTCGCTAGATAAGACCCTTCTTCCTCGGCTGGGATCGTTTAGAGCCCTTTGAAGCTGCATTTAAACTGCATTTGGAAGTTCAAGCTCGGGGGCACCATAGAAGTCCATTAAATGGAGAGAAATCCTGAAAAGTTTTCGTCAAAAAACATAATTTCTTTACGACTGAAGAAAGAAAGACATGAACATCTTGGATGACAAGGGGGTGAGTACATTATCTGTAAATTTTTGTTCTGGAAGTGAACTACTCCTATGTAGGACGATTTTGAAGTTGGAGGAGAAAAAGAGATGGGAGTTTTTCGACATACCCTAACATGAACCGGAATACACAGAGTTCACGCAGAGCTAGACAAGATGAGCGTTTGAGGTTAAAAAGTATATAAATTGTACATTTCTTTAGAAAATAACCAATCGTTTCGCTAGATAAGACCCTTCTTCCTCGGCTGGGATCGTTTAGAGCCCTTTGAAGCTGCATTTAAACTGCATTTTGGAAGTTCAAGCTCGGGGGCACCATAGAAGTCCATTAAATGGAGAGAAATCCTGAAAAGTTTTCATCAAAAAACATAATTTCTTTACGACTGAAGAAAGAAAGACATGAACATCTTGGATGACAAGGGGGTGAGTACATTATCTGTAAATTTTTGTTCTGGAAGTGAACTACTCCTTTAAAGCCTAAAGCTGTAACTCTTTTTTTTACTACTTTGTTATGAAACAAAATGGTAAAGAGACTCACAAATCTACTGGTTTACTTACAAAAACTAGCTGATTAAAACAACATTTTATAGACTATTTATTTTATAGTAAAGATGCAGTAGAAATACGGTAGCTTGTCTAACCGGCTTGATTTGAGCCCGGTCCAGCTTCCTCCTGTAAAGCATGATTGCATGAATGACGTTGCCGGCTCTTGCTGCTTGCAGATGTGTAGGAAAGGCATAAAGAAAGTCCTGTTCAGAGGAAAAAAGTTTCAGAAACCAAGAATGTTTAATCTAATTGAGACCAAACAAAAATATGATCAAGTAGTCAAACTCTGCATACTGCTACAAAGTATGCTGCTAAAATTATCTAGTAGACTATAATATATCTAGGTACTATACTGCACCTAGTGGCTGCACACGCATATGGAGCTGGCAAGTACGATTTACCATTACGTAATAGTTGCTGTTAACCATGATTGGCCCACGACCTCTCAAGTAGATATATTCTTCCCACCAGTCACTGACCTGAAACCCACAGGGATGCAAACTCAGAGGTGAAAAGGATAAAACAGTCACTCCTGTTAAACAGTACATTTCCAGGATCCCATCATGTACAGTGGGTCCCCTGGACTGGAGTTGAACACCACTGTTTACAGTGTCCTTGTTACATGTTACACATACTTACTATAGTAATAACAGTAAATTATGCATAATTACATGCAACTAACCCAAAACCAAACCCTATTTCTAACCCTAATCCTATTATTTTTTGTGGAAGCCACAATTATTTTTTTCAGGATTCTTTAAAGGGGGCGTACAATGCTGTTTCATGCATTCAGAGTTGTTTACACTGTTAAAGAGTCAGACTCTCATGCTAAGCATGGACAAAATTTCAAAAAACAATTTGGACGTATGATGGAGTATTTCTGTGCTAAAAATCTTACTTCCACGTTCGTACAGGTTTCGGAGAGTTATTTTCGATCATGGCTCTTCATGACGTAGACGAGGGTGGAACTCCTTATATGGGCATTTCTCCCAGAAGAGCGCGTCCGCGCACGCATCGACCAGAGTGAGAGTGAGAGTGAGAGCGAGAGCGAGAGCGAGAGCGAGATCGCGGCCATCAACGCTCTTCATCTGGCGGCAGCGCTGCACGGGACTCACTCAGGAAGAATGTCTCCAAAAGAAGTGTGTTTTTGGTTGTAAGGGAAAGATAACTTTGTTCAGCTTCCTAAAGAACCCAGCGTTATGTAAACAGTGGATGCAGTTTGTTTTTCCGGAGCAGCAACAGAGTTTCACAAGTGTGTTTGTTGACGAACGTTTTATAAGAAAGACCCAGTTCGATGCTGGATTTGCACATCGTTTGATACTGAAGGATGGAGCGGTCGAGCTATAAAAGATCCCGGTTATGATTCAGAGCAGTAGACGGTAAGTGAAACTGCATCAAATGTCTGTATTTTATTGGCAGTCGGAGCTCAAGTGTTCGTCAATCTTTAGCTCCGCCCACGGCGCGCCTCCAGGAGCTCGGCTTTTTCCGGAGAGAATCGTAAAGCTGTATCTTTCTTTTATAAATATAATAAAACTAAAGACTTTTTGGAGATATAAAGGATGCAGTACTACTCTATAGGTACTCAAGATTAACATGAGATTGGGTGAAACTGTGTGTGTTATCTCCCCTTTAAAGATAGAAAGTTTAAAAGAACAGCATTTATTTGAAAAAATATATATATTTGTAACAATGAACATGTCTTTACTGTCACTTTTGATCAATTTAATGCATCTCTGCTAAAAAAAAGTTAAAAAATAAATAAAGTACTGACCTCAAGCTTTTGGTAGTTTCAATGGTAGTGTGGATAAAATAATAAGCTTGCCATTTTAAAGATTGAAAATGTATTATATTAATCTATTATATTATATATATATATATATATATATTATAATATACAGTAGTTGTGAAATATTTTGTCATTTTTTGTAAATATTTGTTTAACTAAGAAAATATGTGACCCTGGACCACAAAACCAGTCATAAGGGTAAATTTTCTGAAATTGAGATGTATACATCATCTGAAAGCTGAATGAATAAGCTTTCCATTGATGTATGGTTTGTTATGATGGGACAATATTTGGCCGAGATATAACTATTTGAAAATCTGGAATGTGAGGGTGCAAAACAGTCAAAATATTGAGAAAATCGCCTTTAAAGTAAGATGAAGTTCTTAGCAATGCATATTACTAATCAAAAATTAAGTTTTGATATATTTACGGTAGGAAATTTACTGAATATTTTCATGATCTTTACTTAATATCCGAATGATTTTTGGCATAAAAGAAAAATTGATAATTTTGACCCACGCAGTGTATTTTTGTCTATTGCTAAAAATATACCCCAGTGACTTAAGACTGGTTCTGTGCTCCAGGGTCACATATAACAACATAATGCAAGAACTTAAACTCCTGCTGCAGTTCCTCATTGAAATGTTGAGAAATGTGTTTTACTTACATAATTGGTGGCCCACCAAGACTTCAGCTTGAGGTACCACTGAAGTTTTGGTCCAAGGTTCTTCTCAAAATCAAGTGCAAGACTCTGCATTCTTCGGTGTTCCTCGTCGCTCAGCAGTGGTTGAACTGACTCAAGATACTACAGGTCCAACATTTCAAAAAAAAGAAAGAAAGAAAGCACAGCTAAAATTCACACCTAAAAGCAAAATCTCACTGCCAGGGCGGTCAAAAAATTTGTATTAACTTAAATCCAAGCATATTCATAATGAATGCCAGCAACTGGCAAATCAAAACTAAGCTAGTTTTGTTTTTCTAGTACCGTTCTGAACAGCGTGCATGTTTTAGTAAGTTAACTCACTTCATCCACGCTGTGCAACCTACCTTTAAAATCAGTAGATAATCACCTGAGCAAGTTAACTGAAAACAAGTGACCAAAATTCACATTGAAAAACTAAGTGGAGTGCAGCTATTCCTGGTTTACCAATCTGACATTTATATAACTGAATAAAACATCTCAAATAAAAACAATATTAAACTGAAGAAGAGTTTTGATCTGGTTGTTGTAAAGATGAATAACCTACTCTTCTCATAGTGTCCTTCACAGATGGCACAGGTAAATGAGGGAGAGAGTTCTGGAAGCTGTATAGCATTGGTGTTTGCATTCCAGAAAAAATGTTCACTAGAATCTGCAACGTCAGAGAACAGCAAACAGAAGAGTTCAAAACAACCAAGAATGGATTAGTGAGCATAAACTGTTCCAGAAAACAGTTATCACAAATACACACCAGCCATAGTCGAATTTGCCAGGTCATTTTGCCATGGGGAGCAAACATCCAGCCGTGCCAAGACAGCAGACCCTTCAGGACAGTCCTCATGCTGAATATGATGGCAATCCACAGACCCGTGCCCACCATGACACCCCCAACTAACATCTGCTTTTGTACAGACATGTACCTACTGCAAAAACAGAAGCATAAAGGCTGGAATACACTACACGAATAGGATAAAACACTAGGCATCATACACTTGCCGACTTTGTAAATGGTTCCAGAGAAAAACTGTGCATCATACAGTAAACGACTGAGAATCACACATTTCCAGACTTGCAACTCATCCAAACACTAAAATTGTCTTAAAATATTAAACGTGTTTGATATACCCCAACTGGATGGAATCAAACGCTGCTTTCCAAATATGCCTACTTCCTATATAATAATAATTCCTATATAACAATACTATACACCAGGCAAAAACAGTATATGAAAAGAGTATGTCTGAATTCTATTGAAGCTTGTTTCTGAGACTGAATAAAAAATAAAAAAGGTAACTGTGATGTTTACATCTCACAATTCAGACTTTTTTCCCGTTTCTTTTGCATGTTATAAATTTAGAATTGTGAGATACAGTATATTGCCATTCTGACTTTTTCTCAGAATTTCACGTTTATATCTCACAACTCTGACTTTCTTTCTCACAACTGAGTTTATCTCGCAATTCTGACTTTATAACTCACAACTGTGAGATTATGTCTCAAAATTCTGACTATTTCTCACAACTGAGTTTATCTCACAATTCTGACTTTATAACTCACAACTGTGAGTTTATATCTTGCAATTCTGACATTATAACTCACAACTGAGTTTATATCTCACAATTCTGACTTTATTTCTCACAACTGAGTTTATCTCACAATTCTGACTTTATAACTCACAACTGTGAGTTTATATCTTGCAATTCTGACATTATAACTCACAACTGAGTTTATATCTCACAATTCTGACTTTATTTCTCACAACTGTGAGATTATGTCTCAAAATTCTGACTATTTCTCACAACTGAGTTTATATCTCACAATTCTGACTTTATAACTCACAACTGTGAGTTTATATCTTGCAATTCTGACATTATAACTCACAATAATGTAAGCTCACAATTCTGAGAAAAAGGTCAGAAAGTTGTTGTTTTTTTATTAAGTGGCAGAAACGAGCTTCCATAGAATCCATAGTATTGAGTAGGTGAAAGGTACGAGGACGACTGCTGATATACTGAACTGAGTACACAATGTACATGCAATTTTTTTTGTGAAATCTGTTCGACTCCAACTACCCAAAATCTGCAGATTGGCTCTAACTCATCCAAACTGCGGCAAAAATCTGTGGAAAAGTAGTATAGTGTATTCAGAGGAGTCTTACTGAGAAAAACCTCTGATACACACTAATGTAATTTAAAACATAATTCCACATGCACTTTATTGCATTATGAAATACCATACAGCATAAATAAACCAGGCATACCTGACTGGGACATGTCTGCCAAGTTTGACGAGCAGGCCTAAAGAAGGGTCCACTTTTAAATAATGAGCTCTTCCCAAGTACCCTGCCAACACCAGCATGAACCCTGGTGCACTCCCTGGGTAAACACCATTCAAAATCCCATTCTGTGGGCACAATGAAAAATCATATTCATTCTACAATTTATCTTGAAAAGGTAGGTAACACTTCCACAGAAAATGTAAGAAACAAAATCCTAGTACCTTAAAGCGAATGAATTTCTTCTTCCAGGAGTGAAGTCCGGAGAGGTAGACCTGCCGAAGGGCCTCATGACTGAGCTGAAAGTCAATGCCATCAGGGCCGACAGTAAACTGAAAGGCCACGGCCTGATGAGCTTCTGCCATACTGGATCACCACTAACAATTCAGTGAAAGAACAACATTCTTTAATACAAGACACAAGAGGTGACTAGCTCAAAGTACTGTATTACTGTACCATGCTGTCATTTTGCTGTTTACATGCTATAACCTGCTTTTTAGCTGTTAATAAATTACCATCCAATGACTAACCACCCCTTAATTACTTGCTTGCCTCTATTTGACAAGCAAGCACAATACTCCCAAGTGTCTGAATTATAATATAATTATAATAAAGCCATTAATATTTCTAAACCGAAAATTGCTGAAGTTCACATCAAGCTGACCCATTCAAGTTCATTTTCAAATCACACCGGCTTATTACATATTGAGAAGACTGCTTCGATTCTACAGAGCTTTTAAAAACAACTAACTATTTATCTAGAAAGTTGCAGATGTAATTGCACATAGCGATGCATACAGACCTGATGATGATGATGCGGCCGCCTTTTCCTCTAGATACAGTATCTATCTATCAAACACAACTAAATCACGTGATTTAATACAGGCGAACAGACATTAATCGTAACGTTAAATGACTCGCAAACACCTTTGAATCTGGCTCTGCTGAATAAAATATTTGAAGATCTAGATTTGTTATCTACATGTGGGTGTTTACTTAGTGAACTATGGCTAACCCGGTGGACTGTTATTTACGTATTTATTATTTTCTGCCATATGCCAGACTTACCGTCTTTTTTCTATCTATCAAACACAACTAAATCACGTGATTTAATACAGGCGAAGAGACATTAATCGTAACGTTAAATGACTCGCAAACACCTTTGAATCTGGCTCTGCTGAATAAAATATTTGAAGATCTAGATTTGTTATCTACATGTGGGTGTTTACTTAGTGAACTATGGCTAACCCGGTGGACTGTTATTTACGTATTTATTATTTTCTGCCATATGCCAGACTTACCGTCTTTTGATTATTTATTCTCCTGGTCAGACCTGTGAACTTGATCAAATTAACTGTACAATCGGACACGCATTCGATTAAATGGCACGATGATTCCAGGTCAGGATAGCAAGGTTTATCTTGCTAACGTTAGACTTTTCCCCCGTCTGTTTCTTTAACAGAGCGCTAGACAATATAGCCCTTCCACTCTCCAGTAAGCATGTGGCTAAACCACCGTACTTACAAAATGGTATACATTTTTGAAATTGCGTGCGAACAGGTTTATTTAAATATAAGATGAATATCAGATACGTTGGATTTTTATTATTAGAGATTAGGGTTTTACCTTCATCATCTAAGAAGATCTGTGTTGAGAAATCGGAGCACATGAAAGGATCACGTGCTTCACCGCGTGCCCAACACGGAAGTGAAGGCTGAGTGGACTTACTGCCTGCTGTATAAACTTCTTTACGGAGAGAAAATAGGACCACAAAAGTAAAGCATATTCGCAACATCCCCATAGGGTGTTTACTGATGACTTTCAACAGGAGATATTAGGATTACTTACTTTACAAACAAACAGACAGTAGGGTACCAATATGAAGACTCGGGGGCTCACTCGGTCCTGTAGAATAGTTTTTGTCAGTCTGGTCATTTGCAGCATTTGTACTGTGAATGGTGAGTAACATCTTAAATCCTAAGTACTTTCCCCCCCCAATGCTCTTTTTCCAGTTGAACCTTCTTAAAAGTATTGAGTGTCACAGCTTCATTCAAATAGTTCGAGCTTTTGGCTTTTTTACTTTTGACAATAGTATGGACATCTTTTTATCTGTTATATATAATACAGAAAACAAAAGGAAATGATACTGCAAGTATTACCATATTTAAATAGTGAATGTTTCTAATTGTGGGAAGGAGTTTATTTGTGGTTAATGAACATTTCACACATTTGTACTTCATGCAGTGTGTCTTTTCCCCTCTGTCTAGTTTAGACCACCTTTTACAAAAGGCATTTGTATTGTTAAATTAACATACTGGTAGTAGTTTGTTTTAAAAGCAAGAAAAGAAAACAAAAACACTTATGTAGTATAATTTCTCTTTATTTGTCTTGTTCATTGTGTCTTATTTATTCTATCCAAATAATTATATTATCCTGTTAAATGGAATGCAGGTGGATTTAATATAGGGTGGATCTCAATAAGTGTGTTAACCGTCCGAATGAGATGTCCAGTCCATTGTGAGGACAGAACAAATCCAGTCCACTGCAGGGAGGTAGAAAGAGATTTGCACTCGACTGGATAGTATGATTCACAACTCCAAAAGTCTGGAAAGTCAATTTGTTGTATAGGAAATTACCTTTAATTTCTTGCTCAAGCATAGTCAAGGAACCCAGTCTTAACCTCTACATCTAATCTTAATGAGCTCAGAGGGTAACCATGGCACAAATCTCCCAGCTTTTCAGGAAGCATGTTGTGTAACGTTTCACTCATCTTAGAAACGTGTGCCTAAGAGCATTTTATGTTCTTATATTCTGTTCATGCCTTTTCTGTCATGTTGGTCAGCCAGAATGAAGCGCAATGAATGCTGATGCTTTCCAAACAAAACATGAGCAGCATTTAATTAGGTGGCTGTTTTGTGTTATTATTTGCCATTTATCTGATTGCTTTGGATATGTTTTGTGCTGCACTCATACACGTACTGATAACACAGTATAAGCTCTTTTTCATGTTCACTTATCTAGAAATAAAATAGAACCTTTCCTACCCTTAAAAAGTATACATCTGCTTTTGAAAGTTAACCATGTGCATTGGCTATGCTGCTCACATCTCTTATCTTTTGTACTCTCCTGATCCTGTTGAGAAGCGTGAAAAGCATTTTTTCCCCTCTTTACTCCTTTGTATCTCTCGAAGCTTAATATGCAGGACCACTCCATCTGTTGCCGAATTATAAAATAAGATCTAATTCCAGTCTAATCTTTCTAATTCCATTCACTCCTGCTTATGTGTGTCTCTATAGGAGATTACTGCAAGGTGAACCTGTGTCATAATGGAGGGACGTGTGTGACTGGCATTGGAGAAGATCCCTTCTTCTGCATCTGTGCCGAAGGATTTGCTGGAGATACGTGCAATGCCACTGAGAATGGTCAGAAATGTTGTTTGTCTGAATTTTCCTGGTTTAATGCTCATTTGAATTTCAGATTAGGTTTGTATGGATCACCCTGTTCCCTGTGGAAAGCCTTACTGCTCAGAGGTTGCTCTTTCATAGCTTACTTAATGAGGCTCTCAGTTGTTTAATTTGATTTTCAACTTTGTCTCCAGCATTGACAATGCTTTAAATTTGTGATTTGTGTTCTGATTTTCGATTGCAGATTTTGGTATCTTGGCAACACCGTTTTAAACCTTAAGATTTTTTTCTGAAACAAGGAGACATATCATATTGCTCCTTTCTTTAGAAGAAAAATATGAGACATGGGAATCTCATTGCTGTCTAGGAAGAACAATTCAAATTCTCAAATAGACTCAGTTCCAGAATCAAATCACTGAGGGTGCTTCTGAAATTAGTGAGGGTGTTCTAGCCTTAATGCGCATCTATTATGATATCACTATGTCGCTCATTGCAATTATGAGAGTGAATCCTGTATTTATATGTGGATGTCACTCCTGGAATTTTGCAGTGTGTATGTGGCCATTGGTCCTCTTAGCAGCATGAAAAACAAAACTGTAATTAAAATTCTGAATGGATTATATATAGTCTAGAAAGTGTGCAAAGAGTATTCCCTTTATAATCACTAAAAAGCTGACACTCATCTTGGTGCACGGTGATCTCACAAAGAGTTCCTTTGTAATTAATTAAGCTCTCTCCACTCATTTACATCAGGTTAACACTTTGTTATAATGAGAGGATTCGTAAGCGTGCATAACTCTGTCATTTTGAGCAGGATTTTACTTAACAACTTGTATGTCAGATATGTCTGTGATTAGCAATATTACTCATCACTGCAAAAACACGTAAATAGAAACCTTTTAAGCAAACACAAATATGTACTGTGATCTTGCTTTTGTTTGACTCTGCTTAGCACTTTCTATTATATTGCAGCCATTTGCTAAAATCATTTAAGTTAATTTTTTTTCCTCATTAATGTACACACAGCACCCCATATTGACAGAAAAACACAGAATTGTTGACATTTTTGCAGATTTATTAAAAAAGAAAAACTGAAATATCACATGGTCCTAAGTATTCAGACCCTTTGCTGTGACACTCATATATTTAACTCGGGTGCTGTCCATTTCTTCTGATCATCCTTGAGATGGTTCTACACCTTCATTTGAGTCTAGCTGTGTTTGATTATACTGATTGGACTTGATTTGGAAAGCCACACACCTGTCTATATAAGACCTTACTGCTCACAGTGCATGTCAGAGCAAATGAGAATTATGAGGTCAAAGGAACTGCCTGAAGAGCTCAGAGACAGAATTGTGGCAAGGCACAGATCTGGCCAAGGTTACAAAAAAATTTCTGCTGCACTTAAGGTTCCCAAGAGCACAGTGGCCTCCATTCCTTAAATGGAAGACGTTTGGGACGATCAGAACCCTTCCTAGAGCTGGCCGTCCGGCCAAACTGAGCTATTGGGGGAGAAGAGCCTTGGTGAGAGAGGTAAAGAAGAACCCAAAGATCACTGTGGCTGAGCTCCAGAGATGCAGTCGGGAGATGGGAGAAAGTTTTAGAAAGTCAACCATCACTGCAGCCCTCCACCAGTCGGGGCTTTATGGCAGAGTGGCCCGATGGAAGCCTCTCCTCAGTGCAAGACACATGAAAGCCCGCATGGAGTTGTGAGATGGTGAGAAATAAGATTCTCTGGTCGGATGAGGCCAAGATAGAACTTTTTGGCCTTAATTCTAAGCGGTATGTGTGGAGAAAACCAGGCACTGCTCATCACCTGTCCAATACAGTCCCAACAGTGAAGCATGGTGGTGGCGGCATCATGCTGTGGGGGTGTTTTTCAGCTGCAGGGACAGGACGACTGGTTGCAATTGAGGGAAAGATGAATGCGGCCAAGTACAGGGATATCCTGGACGAAAACCTTCTCCAGAGTGCTCAGGACCTCAGACTGGGCCGAAGGTTTACCTTCCAACAAGACAATGACCCTAAGCACACAGCTAAAATAACGAAGGAGAGGCTTTTCAACAACTCTGTGACTGTTCTTGAATGGCCCAGCCAGAGCCCTAACTTAAACCCAATTGTGCATTTCTGGAGAGACCTAAAAATGGCTGTCCATCAACGTTTACCATCCAACCTGCCAGAACTGGAGAGGCTCTGCAAGGAGGAATGGCAGAGGATCCCCAAGTCCAGGTGTGAAAAACTTGTTGCATCTTTCCCAAAAAGACTCATGGCTGTATTAGATCAAAAGGGTGCTTCTACTAAATACTGAGCAAAGGGTCTGAATACTTAGGACCATGTGATATTTCAGTTTTTCTTTTTTAATAAATCTGCAAAAATGTCAACAATTCTGTGTTTTTCTGTCAATATGGGGTGCTGTGTACACATTAATGAGGGAAAAAAATTTACTTAAAATGATTTTAGCAAATGGCTGCAATATAACAAAGAGTGAAAAATTTAAGGGGGTCTGAATACTTTCCGTACCCACTGTACAATGGCACTGGTGTAAACACCAGACACACCCAGGATGTTGAGCAGTCAGTGGTGGTTAAAGAGAGCTGTAACCATAGTGAGTTTTAAATAGGCTTTGTTAACATTTTCCAGTCCACACAAGTTCCTTTCCATGTATGATTTAACTCTCTGCTGCCTGAGGTCCTCTATAGTGGACACATCTATTAAAGCCATTTTAACCGTTGAGATTATTACAAATTATCCATACTTGTAATTCTATATAAATAGGTGCGTTCATTCCATGTCGGAATTATGTAATTACAAGATTCTGACCATGGCAATGTCATGTGGAAATGTTCAAAAATAGCAGCGGCATTAAAATGTAGTTAAGTAGTGATTTCATAATATTTCTGTTTATAATTGCTATAATTGACTGTTGTTAATATTTTAATGGAAGATTTTTCTGAAACTAAACTAAAGACATACAATACAATCAAATGTAGCTAGCACAGAGTTAAATTAAGCTAAACTCACTATAAGTTGATTAATAAGGTATTTGCATAATGACTGTTACTTGTTTTCA